ATTTGGATTTGACAGAGAAATACCCTCATTCCAGTTAGTATTCTCAATCTCAGCATGAAACATGGGTAACTTTGATTTTGGAATCCTTTTAATGAAGTTATGCACATGACCTGTAGGTTTCTTAAGGTTTTTTCTAATGACATAAATAAGTGAATGATCCGAGARTGAAGTATTTATAACTCCAGATATGCCATATATGGAGGATTGATTTGTGAAAATAAGATCCAAAATGGAATTGCATGTCTTGCTAAATCTTGTTGGTACTTTAATTAACTGTTGAAGCCCTAAGTTTATAGACATTTAACTGATCTTTTGTTCGTGCACGTTTAGAACAATTTACAGCCAGAAGAAACTGGCTTCTCTCCCGATCCCAAAGCAAGTCCACGTCTGTCCAGAGCTAGCATCTTCCTTAGTCAGATATTGCAGGTAACTAAGAGCAAAGCGTCTGTTCAGAGAAAATACCACTTTTTTCTAAAATAAAAGTGACAAAAATGAACACTTCTCTATTTTTGTTGGTGTTGCAGTTTGTCAGCAGGGTGGATATCAAGTACAAGCGAATGAACAGCAACGAACGAGTGAGAATCATCAACTCTGGCAGCACAACACTACCGAGACAAAGCTTTGAGATGCTGAAACAAGAAGGTGGGCTTTAAATGTTGTATAAAAAAAACAACAACACAAAGCAGATGGACACACAGCTCTGAAAAATTCACATTCAATGCAACAGTTTTATTAAAAGCAGCAGCAGTGGAAGATTAGATACTAAAAAGTGGAGTTAGAAGCTGTAACCACTAAAAGATGTTTGAGCGTTGATCTGTGTGTGAGGTTTTTGTCACAGATCTCTCAGAAGGTAACTTATGGGTTAGATAATACATAAAAGAAAAAAAAGGAAGAGGAAGTGCTGCCGGGGGTGTAGAAACTCAAACAGAATGTCTGTTGAATTCTGAGCCTTGAAAGTAGCTGAAGTAAACAGCAAACAGAAAATAAAAGCTGAGCTTGGCGTGGAGTGTAAGTGGATTGAGTGCTGAAGATGAAAGCAGGTGAAAAGTCTCTTGATGTCTGAAAGCAGCCGACATGTCAGAAGAGCTGAATTTAGCCCAGCCGTTGGTTCGAGACTCAATGCCTTGCAGAGTTGAGTCGAAGGGTCTGAAGTCAAGAGGATTAAATGAAAAAAATGATGAAAGGAGCACAAACTGTGACGTTAAAAAGTGAGAGCTGGAGTAAAATGGCGTCAGAGGAGCTGAAAAGTGTCAAGCTGGGAGGAGGTAAATTTCTGCGAATTCATTTATGAGCAAAATATTTGAGAAAAGATTCAATAAATATTCTACAATCTATTAAGAATCTCAGTTAGTATTAATCTGAAGGTTTTGGGAACTAAAGAGGGCCTTTTCACTTATGAACAATAGCTTTAAAACTGAACTCATGCTGAACGCACCMGAGATCAAACCTGATATTAAATTAAATTAATTAAAAAATATAGAGCCACCACCAAGAAGAAACAGGAAATAGCTGAGAACATCAAACCTCAGCAGGAAAAGTGGTGTATAGCTGTAGTGTCAAAAATTAAAGCCACATTTTCTATTCTCCTGAATTTCCATTCTCCTTTCTCAGAGACAATATGGGCTGAAGTGTTGTAGGATGATGAAATATTTATAGATATTGTCAGAAAAAAAATCCTTCCTAAATAGTGAAAACTAAATGATATGTCACCTGATTTGACCCAAACTGTAAATCTGTGGGTTGTTATAAAAACGAAACAAGGAACAGAGAAGTTGAACATAGTCTTTAAATAATAACGGAACATTTTGTAAAAACATGTTGCAACACATAGATCCTTAGTAGACGAGGACTAAAAGGTAGACAGTCTTTAAAGGAGTTTTAGGAAGTGAGAAATAAGCTCTGTAGAGCCTGTGTTTTTTAAAAATTGTGTTTTTTAAAACTGTTTCTAATGTTAAATAAGGACAAATATCCTACAATTTACAAAAAAGGGTATTCCAATGGAGCAGTTTTAAGCAGCTTYTCTTTGAGACAGTGGGTCTGCATAACTGTGATCCTCTTTCTGTAATTTGTTTTCTGTTTGTARAGACAATGCTGACCAGGACAATGATCTGAGCAGAGGTTTGAACCTGATCCCATACAGTCCTGTTACCCCTCAGCGGACCCAGAGACGAAGACCGGTTCTGTTCACGCCTACCGCTTTGGCCAAAACCATTATCCAGAAGATCCTGAACATGGGCGCAGCAATGGACTTCAACATCTGCAAACCAGGTTGGTGGAAGATGAAAAGTGACAAGTGTTTTGTGTTTGTGTGTAAATTGTGTAGGCTATTTGGCAGAAAAGATTTGGCAAATTTTTCATGTGTGCAACTTCAACTCTCCTGCTCTACCCACAAATGCCTTTTCCTAATAAATATGGCACCATTTACAAATAAACAGGCTTTCCAATGGTGTTAGGTTTATTACCATGAAAGATTGTTGTAGTAAAGAAACAAGCTGTGTTTATTTAAAATCTCCTGATATTCAACAGTGTTTGGAGAGTGTTGGTGCAGAATATAAGATAAGAGAAAAAAATAGACCTTTATTGTCATTGTACAGAGTATAATGAAATTGTAGTTCAGAACACCCATTCACAAGAAGACAGAACATAACAAACGTAGGAGAACAGGTGCTCTGCGTCATGCAGCCGCAGACCCTGCACAGAGCAAGGATCATCATCATGAAGACATCATAGGAGGCGCAACCCTTAAGAGAAAAACTAAAAACCACACAAGGAAGATGAGGAAAAACAAACAAACATCATAATATATCAACAAATGTGACACACTATGGTGTTTATAAAAAACTGCATAGAGCACACAGAATTAGCAGCCTGATGAAATAAGCTGTTACACATTCTGGCTTCTTTTTTTTACCGTGTACAATATTGCTTTCCAGATGTCAGGAGGTCAAAAAGCTTGAGGGCAGGATGACAACGATCTCTTACAACACTGGGAGGATGTTTGTTTATTAGCATTTATCTATGAAAATGATCTGTGAGGTGTCAGGGGTGTCAAAAACTAGCGCTGGTGGCTAGGCTCAATGATGTATATTGAATAGAGGCGTTATAATGTGACTTTTCATGGTTGGAGAGAGAAGACATATTATATTGTTTGGGGGCAAGGACAACTCAACAAACAGTTTTGTTAGCTGGTGAAGCTGAACATGGTAACAGTGATATGTGTATTTCAGTACATCAGTGAAACTCAGCTTCTTACTGACAACCAATATTTTGATTTGATAGAAATGTTTGTCAGTAAATACTATTAGGAAAAGGTACACACATCTGCAATGAATAATGTTTCTAATAAGCAGAAGCTAACCCATGAAAAACTTAAAATTTTAAATTTTTTATGCAATTCTAGAAATCTATAACCATAATAAATACTACTACTACTACTACTACTACTACTACTACTACTACTACTACTACTACATTTATAAAGCACTTTGAACAACCACAGCTGCAACAAAATGCTGTACATTTAAAATCAAAACATGAAAAACACAAAACAAAGACTAAAAAATAAACAAAAACAAAACAAAAAAACCCAGTAAAAATAAGAATAAAACTAAAGACAAGTCTCAGGCTGTGCCAAAAGCCAGGGAGTAGACATGTGTTTTTAGAAGAGTTTTAAAAGTAGACGGTGAACGGGCTTGTCTGAGAAAAAGTAGAAGATTGTTCCATAATCTTGGAGCAGCAACACAAAAAGCTCTCCTCTCAGCTTACGTTTGGACCTCGCCACCTCCAGGAACAGCTGATCAGCTGACCTGAGGCACCGAGCAGMAGAGTGTGGGTGAATCAGCTCAGATAAATGGGGTGCATAACAATGAAAAAGATCCTATGCTTCCTGAGTAAAGAACCCAAAGAAAGGAGGTAAAGAGAAAAAAGCAGGGGACCTAAGATCAAACCCTGGGGAAAATAGTTTACATTGAGAGCCCACCTCTTCCAATATGGCTTTGCTCTTGTCAATCTTCTGAAGCATGGAGAGGAGAGATCCTTGATGATGTGAACAATTCATATCTTTGTCCAGTTGACCCTCTGAAACAATATGTTCAGAACTCTCAAATATCAGCTGTGAAGAACAAAGGACTGAGTACACATCCTTGATGGACTCCTGTAAGCATAGGATTATAAGGTGTGACAAAAAGAGGGACGATCTGGTGTCTTTCTGACAGGAAGTCCAAAATCCAGTTAGAGAATGAGGTTTAAAGTCAGAGTCCATCACTGTAAGTTGCTTTGGGATGATTGAACTGAAGGAGCTCCCAACATGAAGTTCAAATGTCCCTTTTTAAAAAACTTTGTATAAAAAATGGGTCCACCTTGTCATTTTAAGGATCTGGAGAAAAGGTTAAGAGGGTAATGGTTAGAGAAAATTAATCCATGATGGGAACTGGAGTTGGATGTTCTGTAATGTGGTGTAAATGTTCAAAAGTGTAACTAGAAAGACAGTGAATGCAGACTGAGAGATGGCCTAGTTGATAAACAGTCTGAGACGACAGTGACACAGATATTTCAGACACTACCTTGTTATTTGAATATGTTGACTCACTGTGAAAATGTTGGTGAAGACAGTTGGTTTTGTTCTCCAGATACCCTGTCCAAAGAGGAGTTTCATCTGAAACAGAACATGGAGCACTTCATTCACTACAAAGAGAAACAGGCCACATTTGAATGCATCACCCAGGAAAACATTGAGGCTGTCGCTGCCAAGGTGAGTTTCACCTGCATTTATGACCTCCACCTGCCAGGTTATGGAGAGGTTCTTTTTTTTTCACAAGTTTTTATCAACTACCAAGTGCAAACTCTATTTGAGTCAAAAAATACCTTTTGTGTGTAACTTTGAAACCATTTATTTTTTCTTACAAAGGAGATTCACTCTATAGAAAAGATTTTTCTGATTACAATTAAACATTTTTATGTTCCATTGTTATGTTTTGTTGATTAAAACACTAAAAATGCACATTTTCTATATGTATTACCTGTATAGACARCTATATTTTATTGGCAAGCAATAAAAACATTGTGTGTGTTTGTTTGCCTGTTAGCAAAATATCCCATGAACTACAAAACAAATTTTAATGAACCTCTCAAAAAGTAATCCTTGGATATACGTACGATATATCTTGATTCAAGATGGCCACCTTTTCTAGCAAAGATAAAAATGGTTGTCGTTTTTTTACAGATATTAAGCTAACATATGATATGACAGTAGTTGAGAATCATCCCCATAGCATATTCTAAGGAGCTAACAGATGGGGGGAGGTTTTTGTTTAAAACCTTCACATGAAAAGCCTTAGGAAATATACATTCTTTTAAATAATGCTAGTTAGGGCCTGCAGTTACAAACAAATGAAGGCAAAGCATTCCTCTGCCTCCTTCAATTGAATGGTGGTCCCCTTTATTTCACACCTCTTAAGGTTTCTTAACTATTCTTAACTATTTTTTTATTCTTCCGTCAACTTTAATGCGGCCCGAATGGCAAAGTGTACCCACACAAATGTTATATCAAAACGTGTGGCTCTGTCTCGTGACGTGTGGCGTTAAGTTTATTGGCATTTTGAGCTACCATGGCAAAAACCTCATTCAAAAAAATTATCTCAACTCTCAGCTGGCCTTAACTAACCCTCTGGGTCATGTGACTTTCATAGTTTCCTTTCATAGTTTCTCTAGAAACTATTCTAGTTTGATCTTTACAGTTCTTTGATAATCTGGATTCCTCTTTTTTTATACTATGTTTCACGCTTAATTTGAGGTTTACATTTATTAAGTCCAGGGGCTACTTCTGCCTCAAACCACATTTTGCCCATGCATACTCTAGTCCATGTACTGTTGAGGCTTTTAAAAAAGCTTAAGTGAAAGTTTTACTGATCAATAAAAATCTGTTCCCACTAACTAGTTACCAGAAGTATTTAAAGTGTATCTTCTTCCTACCTAGTCAATTGAAACCAGCAGAGAATACAACAGGAAGGGACATAATTTCTCAGTAAGTGTCTCACAGGCACCAACCATACGGTGTCCCATCAGAAGCCAGTGTCAGCTAGAGTGAAAAACTGTTTCTGCAGTGCTTTCTGAGTGCCCTTCCTGTAAAATAAAAAAGAAACACTACATGTAAAGTCTGTACCTCCCGGCTTCCACTGGGTTATCAAACAGACAATAGACYCCAAATTTATCTAAAATGTGCAGCGTGAGTTTGTTTCGTGTTGACTTTAAACACAGCTGTCATTCTGCCCCATCACCAGGGGAAACACTGCCTGCTGGAGGCTGAGCTGAGCTGCGTCAAGGACCTTCTGCGGAGAGATATCTACCCCATCATCATTCACGTCAAGATCTGTGACAAAAATGTCAAGAAGTTAAGGTAACTGTACTCGGTTCGTGCCACGGGTCTGCCCGTTTACTGAAACCACAAAACTGCAAACCACACTTTTTTTAAATTCCAGACACACGTCAGTTCTCGTGTGATGTTATGTCTCCAGGAGACAAACATAAAGGCGTCCAAGTGACCAGTTTGTTCTGGTCTTTGAATTTAAGACAGAAGTTTAGGTAGATTAAAATGTATGTTTCTTTTATTTTCACAAAACCTATCAAAGATGTATTCTTTTGATTTTCTGACTCAAATCTAATAATTCTTAATCCAGTGAAATCAGTGATGTACTGCAATAAAGTAGTTAAACTGCCGTTGCACAGCAACTACACAATCACATCACACACAKTGGGCTACCGCACTCACCACGGCGCTCGCTTCCTTCCTGTTTCCTGTCCACACAGGAAGTTGCCTCTGCGTGTGGAGTCAGAGGAGGAGTTTGTGAAGTTGTGTCGTGCCAAAGAGAAGGAGCTGGAGGGCATCCCATGTCTTTACACCACCCTGGAGCCCGAGTCCTGGACAGGGACGGAAGACCTGATCAGGGTCATCAAAGACAGAATACTGGATGAGCAGAGGAAGACCGTTTGGGTTGAGCAGGACCTCCTGTAGACCCACAACAGTCTGCACTATGACACACATGTGTAGCTAAATACAGCAAAACCACACGTTTTTTGTACAACTAACTTTCATTTTATATTTATTGTCTGATTCATAAATGCATTTGTGGACAATGGAAATCTTTGACTCGGGCAAGCATCATGTATTTGTTTGAGTGTGCCTTTAATTAAAAAAAAATAAACAGAATGATACTGTCTAAAATGATCTTTTCTTTGTCTAAAAACACTGCATGCAGGAAGGAAAAGGCGTTAACTTTGCTAACATGTTTTTTCGGTTCCTGTTAGATGTGAAAAAAAGGTTYAAGCGCTCTCTGGTGGCTTTCTACAATATTTCAGTCCCAATAAACACCTGTTGTTTAATTTGTTCCYGTTGTGTACCACAGAATAACAACATCACAGACTTCTGACCCCCAACTATTGCTGAGTGAACCGTTCAAACYTTAATAGTCACAAATACAAGACTATAAAAACCTAACCAACCATTAATGTATTTTCATTAATTTATGACTATTGTGTTTGTTTTATAATAATTATGGCAAAAAATATATCGTTAGTACGAGTGTAAGGGTTAGCATTAACAATAGTTTTATCTTTAGCATTAGTGTTAGCATTAGCAAAATCATTAGCTTTAGCATTAATGTTAATGCTAAGGCCAGACTACAAGAATAAATATAATAATATATAGGATTAGAAAAGTATTTATGCACGGTCCATTAACTGGTTCAGTCCTCCAAGTCCAAAATCCGTCTCCCCCAACCCAGTCCACCTGTTGGGGCTTAGATCAGAGTGTTTTTTTCAAATGTTTTTTAGTTTTTAAATGTCATGTCAGTATGCTTGTCTGTGTTTTTTCCGGACTTCGGTTGTTTGTCCAATGTAAGTTTCAGGTCTCCTTTCAATCTCAGGTAAGTATTTTTTTATGTTTTTAGTTTTACAGGTCTCCGGTTGTTTGTGTAAGGTAAGTTCTTTCCATCTTTCCCTCTCTTTCCATAAAATTCGTGTTACTTAGCTTATTTGTGTGCTTCTGTTTTACTTGTTGTTAGTATTTTTCTCTTAACTTCTTAGCTCTTGGTGTGCTCCATCGACAACGTTTCGACTCTACTTGGTCTTCTTCAGGTCTGGAGCACACTGATTGCCGGATCAGCTTGGCTCGGCCGTTATATAGTTTGTCACCACCCACATTTTTTTCGTTCAACGTTCCTTAATAAAGTTTATTGGCACCCCCTTTGTCCTTTCCAGTTAATTTAGATTAGGCCCTCCTCATTCATTATCCAACATTCTAGTGTTTGTCCTTACTTCTTTGAGTCTTTTTCTGTCCTTTACAGTTTTTTTTAAGGATTTTAACCTTAGGTCTGGGGTCTTAGGGGTTAACTTTAGAATAGTCATGGGTGGGGGTTAGATAATTTTATTTTCCTTATTGGGGTATGGGGAGTCAGAGCAGACAAGGGGTCCTCCCCAGAAGGCACAGGCTGGGTTAGGATTAGAAAAGTGAATTCTGATGTTCGGCATCAGAATTTATGCATGGTCCATTAACTGGTTCAGTCCTCCAAAACCAGGGTTAGGGTTAGTACAATAATATTTTATTAGATTAGATTAGATTAGATTAGATTAGATTAGATTAGATTAGATTAGATTAGATTAGATTAGATTAGATTAGATTAGATT